AGACACGGGCGAGGCTATCAAAATAAATCTTTAGTTCCGGTATCCTCGGACACGGGTCACGCGTGTAGGCAAAAATGTTCAGTCGAATTTTAACTGCGCTCCTCACATGAGCAGTTGCCTCACGCTAGTCACGTTGTAAAGCGTGTGTTCACATGAGGGGAGGAATGTGCTTGCTGATTCTTTTTGAGACGAGTCTTGTCATCTCCTGCGGTGAGTACAGCTCTAGTGGATGTGTGCTAAGCCCAGCCGTAACAAACTGTCGAAAAAGCATGCAAGCAGAAAAAAAAAAGAAAACAAGCATGCACAGACAATGAGGACACTAGTGGATGACAAAACCTAGATTCTTTGTGATCAGATAAAGTGAGGCGTGTGATGTTGCATGTCTGAATCGTTCTATGTGAGACGGGCCTTACTTACTTATTTGGTTGGAGAAAAGGCATCATTGCAGGCGGCACAATGCCATAGCTGCTCCTTCTTCATCTCCAGGATCCATGAAAGGGTCTGCCAGCTGATCGTGAGGTAAAATATCACTCATAACCAGACCCTAGGTGACAGATCTTCCTAAATTATCTTTTACATATTTTTTTTTCTCTTATACTCGAAATGTACTACATAACAGTGTACCGATATCTGGTCTGGCGTCATTCTGGCTATGGCCCAGAGGACCCTGATCAAATTCTCAGACAGCTATACCTTGCCTTGGTTTCTTTAGGAAGTTTTAGTTTTAGTTTGGTTTAAGTAAGTTTTACGGCACTTGCAACACAATAAGGTCATATTATAAGCGCCAAAGATTAGAGGAGTTACAAGAGAGTAAAAAACACAAAAGAGGAGGAGAGATCAAGACAATAAATGTTTTGTAGGAAAGAAGGAGCCCACACCAAAGCACCCGCCAACCACCCACTTTTGAAATTTGCATGTCCACATAGCAAACATTCGCTTGGCTTTGTTCCATTGATGATGGACAATAAAAGCAGGCTTGGAAGCTCCTAGAAAAACTTGATCTTTAGCAAAAAAAAGTATTGGTTTTTCTTTCATGGGGGTGGGGGGGGGGCGTATCCATCGCAATACACACGAATTTGTACATGGTCTTGTTGAATAATCTCACCGTCCTGAAATGTGTTAAATCCATTCCATAACATTAAATTACAGCCGTGATCACTGTATACTATGTCATTATGTTACCACGTGGGTGGTTGGCAGGTGCTCTGGTGTTTTTTGCTCCTTCTTTCCTATCAAACATCTATCGTCCTTATCTCATCCTCTTTTTTGTGTATGTTACTCCCTTGTAACACATCTATTCTTAGGCACTTATATGACCTTATTGTGTTGCAAGTGCCGTAAAACTCGTACTTAAACTAAACTATGTTACCATAACGATCACCACGCTGTATCAAACTAATTCAAAACACACCAGAGCTCACAGAATGTTCCGTGCCTGGGGTGCTACATTTGGCCAAGGTCGTTTGATCAAACTGGTGTGTAACACGAAACTAGATATAAGGCAAAGCAAAACGTACAGATTTCAAACAACAACAGCACCAGTCACAACAATAGCCACAGCGAGAAGAACATCAACAACAACAACAACAACAACACAAACAACAACAACAACAACAACAACAACAACTACAAGAATAACAATAACAACTACAACAACAACTACTACAACAACAACAACTACAACAACAACTACTACAACAACAACAACAACTACAACAACAACAACTACTACAACAACTTCCGACAGCGGCATCTCTTTGGGGAGGATTCAGGGAGGATGGACTGCCTCACCCGCTACCCAAGAGAGGCGGTGGCCCTGACGAAGAGCACGCTCTTCCGGACTCCAAACATTTCGAACGGATAGGCTACCACACAAACACACTACAACAGCAACAACAACAACAACAACAACAACAACAACAACAACATCAATGGTATGACTGGCAAGGAGCAGAAACAGTTTCTGTCAAACAATAAATCAAAATCTTTCCTCGAACTTTTGATGTTTTATTTGTTCAAATGGAAGTCAGTTCAATGAGTGATTATGTCAAGAAAAAAATGCCAGTTTGGTCAACTGTGGTCAAAAGGAGAAGCCGACACTGACCCCCACACGACCCCCGGAGTGAGACCCGTAGCCTACGTCCACTCCCACACTCCAGCCTGGGGACAGAAAACACTCACATTTTCTTCTACGAATGAGATGTGACGATGGTGATAAAGATGATGACGGTTATGATGGGAGCGATGATTTGTCTCGTCCGGTGTACTCTTACTTTAGCGAAAAGATAATCCATAAAAATTACAGTGTATACAATTATTCGTAAAATTACAGTTTTTAAAATTATTCAGGTTTTCTTTGCATTTGATGATGATAATGATGATGATGAAGATGATGAAGATTTTTTTTCCTTAATGGGCCTGACGGACTTCACGAAGAAATCTTCGAGCGAGAGCGAGGATCTTTTTCGGCTCCATTGTCAATATGCTTAGCGGCACCTCCACTCGTCTTCTTGGGTGTGGCTGTCTTCGTTGAGAACGGTACTCCCCATCGTGAAGGGGACAGCTTGCCACTTTGAGTACCCGATGATGATGATGATGATGATGATGATGATGATGATGATGATGATGATGATGATGATGATGATGATGATGATGATGATGATGATGATTGTTACTCACCTCTTTTCTGGAGAGCCTGGAAAGAGAAAAGAAAAAGCGCAAAACTATTACTACCTTGAAAAGAAAGTTACTAGAAATTCCTTTCATGCTGAACGAAAATTGAGAGAGATGAAAGAAAATAAAGGAACAAAATTGTTTTCTATTGGTTTGTTCTGTGTTTATAACTGTTAAACTTCTTTTGTGAGTAAATCCCAAAACATTTGTTCTTTAAAAAATAAAATAGTTATAAATCCAATTCAGTATTTCCAGGGCTTCTATTCAGTTAAAATTTCTACATTACCGATTTATATCACAACCTCAAAATTTCGCTGAAAGTCATACGACAAGTCCTGACCTCAAGACTCTGACCATGAAGACAGTGGCCATCTTTATGAGAGTGCAGACGCCACAAGTGTTTGGGAGGTCATTAGGTAATCGTCCCAGTAGTTAGAACTTAAGATAATGAGTCGAAAATAAATTAGTATGCCTGTGGTTAACGTTTTTTATTAGTTTTCTATAGTTCTAAACGAACTGATTATTCTCTCTTAAAGTTCTCTGTGCTTACCCGTCTCTTGTCTCCGTTTTCTGGATCGGTGATCGTTATGAGGTCACTCACTAGAGACACTGTGGGGAGGAAGAGAAGGAAAAATAGCAATTGCGAATACAGAAGGGGAAGGAGGGGGATGTGGGAGGAGGAGGAGGAAGAAGAGGAGGAAGAAGAGGAGGAGGAAGAGGAAGAGGAGGAGGAGGAGGAGGAGGAGGAGGAAG